TTCCCAAGGACAATTCCCAGTTTCCCAAGGACAATTCCCAGGTTCCCAAGGACAATTCCCAGTTTCCCAAGGACAATTCCCAGTTTCCCAAGGACAATCCCCAGTTCCCAAGGACAATCCCCAGGTTCCCAAGGACAATTCCCAGTTTCCCAAGGACATTCCCAGTTTCCCAAGGACATTCCCAGGCAGTACCGAGCAGGCTGAGGCTCCGGCGCGGCGGCGGCGGCGGCGTGGGAGGGTGAGGAGAGCTGAGTCCTCGCTGGGAAATGTCCACATCCACCAGTGACACCGTCTCACCTGGAAAAGGAGACGGAAAATCCCGGTTGGAGCCGGGATCAGCCACTCCCCATCCTTGGGATGAGGAAAAAAGCAGGAATTCCACAGGGATTGGGAGGTTTTGCTGCTTCCAAATCCAATTTTTCCGTCTTTGGAGAGGCCTCGATCCCTGCCCAAAGCTCAGGGTGAGGGAATTTGCCCCGAGGCCGGAGCCTGGATGGGATGAGGGATTTTTTCCAGCATGGAATTCCCACATCCAGCGGAGCTGATCCATGTGAGGATGTGATCCCGCTCCAAAAGCCACAAAAAATCCACTTAAAAAAGGGGGATTTTCAAATGAATCAGTGATATATAAAAATAATAATATATGTCTTTTATTTTTTATATATTTACGTTTTTATATCACATAGAAATATAATATGTATATAATATAAATATATATTTTATATATTATATATAATGTTATATAATATATAAAAATACAAATATATAAGTATAGATTTTTATTGATTTATATTTTATATTATCTCTAGATATAAATATATAAATTTATATTATATTATATTATAAATATTATATTAAATTATAACTTTATTATATTTATTTTATATTACATTATTATATTTATATAATATTATTATATAATATTATTATATTACATTATATGACATTATATTATTAATATTATATTATTATTATATTTATTTTATATTATATTACATTACATTATATTATATTATAATTTTATTATATTTATAATATATTATATTATATTTATATTATATTATGTTATACTTATATTATATTATTTATATTATATTATATTTATATAATATTATTATATTATATTAATATTACATTATATTTTATTATATTTGTATTATATTTATATTATATTATAGTATATATTTTATATTATTCTATTTCTATAATATTATATATATAAATATATATATATTTATATATTTATATTATATTATACTTATAATTATTTTATAATTATTTTATATTATATTATAATTTTATTGTATTTATTTTATATTTATATTATATTACATTTATATTTAATCCACAGCACAACAAACCCCGAGGTTCCACCAGTCCCCCCCAAATCCTCACCTGTGAAGAGGGGGCTGAACACAACCGGGGAAAAGGCACTTTGGGTTCTTGTCAGTCTGTGTTTCCTGCGGGGGGATGGAGGGAAACGGCGTCACGAGGGGTGAGGAGACTGAATCCCACCAGGAGAAAAAACAGGAGAACCTTCTCCAGACAGGAGAACCTTCTCCAGACAGGAGAACCTTCTCCAGACAGGAGAACCTTCGCCAGACAGGAGAGCCTTCTCCAGACACGAGAACCTTCTCCCACCAGGAGAACTTTCTCCAGACTCGAGAGCCTTCTCCAACCAAGAGAGCCTTCTCCCACCAGGAGAACTTTCTCCAGACTCGAGAGCCTTCTCCAACCAAGAGAGCCTTCTCCAACCAAGAGAGCCTTTTCCAGTCATGAGAACCTTCTCCAGACAGGAGAACCTTCTCCAGACAGGAGAACTTTCTCCCACCAGGAGAGCCTTCTCCCATCAGGAGAACCTTCTCCTGCCACGAGAACCTTCTCAAGCCCCAAGAACCTTCTCCAGCCACAAGACCCTTTTCCAGACCACAAGACCCTTTTCCAGACCACAAGAACCTTCTCCATCCTTCCCAGGACCTCCATCATCCACACGTTTCTCCATCTCCTAATTAGGGCAGGGATCCCAAAATCCACCAAAAAAACCTTTTCCATCCTCCCCTGAGGGATCCCAAGGGTGCCAAAAATCCACGGAGCAGCCTTGAGGTGTGACCTGGTGCATCTCACGCAGGTTTGGGCTCTGAGATGACACAGGAACACCTCAAAAATTGACACCAGCAAGAAATAATGACAAATTTGGGTCCTCTCCTGTGCCCATCCTCGTCCTCTGCCCCGGAACCTCCTCTGAAGCACAAATTTCTCCCAAAAAGGAGCAGTTTTAGGAAAAAAAGTTGGATTTGTGGTGACCACCAGATCCATGGAGACCACCAGATCCTTAGTGACTACCAGACCCTTGGACTCATGAAGACCACAAGATCCATGGTGACCACCAGATCCATGGATTCATGGGGACCACCAGACCCTTGGACTCATGGGGACCACCAGATCCATGGATTCATGGGAACCACCAGATCCATGGTGACCACCAGAGTCCTGGACTCTTGGTGACCACCAGACCCATAGATTCATGGGAACCACCAGACCCTTGGAGACCATCAGATCCTTGGACTCATAAGGACCATAAGATCCATGGTGACCACCAGACCCTTGGACTCATGGTGACCACCAGATCCTTGGTGACCACCAGACCCTCGGACTCATGGGGTCCACCAGACCCATGGTGACCACCAGACCCTTGGAGACCACCAGGTCCATCCCATACCCATGGGGGCCACAGGTCAGGAGGCAACGACTTCCAGCTCCCAGCAGAACCAAGGAAAAGTCCTGGTTCATCATCATCACCATCATCATCACCATCATCATCCCACCAGGACACGAGCAAGAAGGACCATTAATGACCCATCCCTCAATGCCAGGACAGGATTCCCGGAACCAGAGGCAGCAAAGTTCTGTCTGACCCACAGGAGCTGCTGCATGGGGCACCTTGAAGTAACCTTCGTTAAAAAAAGCCTAATTAGTGCGAGGAACTGCACGAGAACTGACCACCAAAGCGACCACCAAGGTGACCACCAGACCAGAGAAGACCAGGCAGCGATTCCCAGGTGTTTCCCTGCTCCCAGCACCGCTGGAATAATCCCGATCCCAAAGCTTTCTGTCATTCCAGGCACCTGGTTTGGGGCTGTTGGAGTCATCTGTGGCCAAGGAGCCGCCGTCCGAGGCTCCTCAGGAGCTCCAGAGAGGCCTCAGCACCTGCCCAGCTGCGGGGCTGGGAGCTGGGGCTCCCCACCCTCCCCTGCTTCAAAGGGGAGCTCATTTTGGGGTAATTTTGGCCTCCTCGGGCTGCCGAAGGGCGCTGTCCCCACACGCCGGGGCTGCAGGTCACGCCTGACCCCGGGTCAGCAGCTCCAGCCTGGAGAAAAACTTCCTGCTCATCCATCAGGAGGAGGAACCACAGCCCGAAATCCCTGCGGAGGGTGAAGGAACCCCGCAGGGGAAGGGCTGTGCTGTGACCCCAAATCCATCTCTTTATTCCCTGCTGCACGGACCTGGGTCTTCTCCCGGCCTTCTCCTGGAGAAACCTCAGCTCTGCAGCCGGGAATGTCATGGAAAAGCGGTTCCAGGAGCCCGGGAAGCAGCGACAGAGCGGCCCTGGACTGGCCACAGCTGGGACCGAGCAGCAGGGGTGATGGAACAGGGATGAGGGACAGCAGGGACATGAGGGACACCAAGAGATCCCGGGGTTTGTCCCCCCATCCGAGCAATGATCCCTGCGGGAGATCTGAGCACCCACAGCACCAGAGCCTCGGGAAATCGCCCCTCAGCACACGGGAGGTGACAGAACGCCAGTCCCTTGGGGACAGAGGTGTCACCAGAGGGGACAGCGCTGCCCCAGCGCCTGCAGCACCCCACCATCAGCTGTGGAATCACAGAACCTGGAAAAACCCTCTGAGATCAGCCAGTCCAACCTCCCACAGAACCCCACTGCGTCCCCAAGTGCCACATCCACACATTCGCTGGACAATTCCGGGGATGGCGATTCCACGGGCAGCCTGTGCCGGTGCCCGAGCACATTCCCCACCAACAAATCTCCCCCAAAATCCAACCTGAACCTCCCCCGGACACAGCTTGAGTCACCGCATCCCTTGTTCCCTGGAGCAGAGCCCGACCCTCACCTGGCCGCACCTTCCTGGCAGGAATTTGTGGAGCAAAAAGATCCCCCCGGAGCCTCCTCCTCCCCAGGCTGAGCCCCCCCAGCCGCTCCTGGCGGGACTGATGCTCCAAGCCCCGCTCCCGCTGCTGCTCCCAGAGGTTTTTCCGCCATCCCCGCCAGGGATGCAGGCCTGGATCAGCGCGACCCTGCTCCGCCAGCCTCTCCCGGTCACCAGCGTCTCCGCGTGAGCCACGAGGCCTCGTCAAAGCGAGAGGTTTGATCGCCGCACGGGATGGCCCCGGTGCCATCCCCGCTGCCACCCCCGGTGCCATCCCCTGGCGCCACCCCCGCTGCCATCCCCGCTGCCACCCCCGGTGCCATCCCGGGTGCCACCCCCGGTGCCATCCCGGGTGCCATCCCCTGGCGCCATCCCCGGTGCCACCCCCGGTGCCACCCCCGCTGCCCCCCGTACCTGCCCGGCTCCTGCTCCCGGCCGCGGGCCCCGCTCACATCCGTCAGGCTCCCGGCCGAGGCGGCGGCGCTGGCGGCGTCCCCGGTGGCGGAGCCGCCGCTGCAGCTCTTGGTGCGGAAGAGGCGGCTGAGGCGGATGCGGAGCGAGCCCTTCCTGCCGCCGGTGCCGGTGCCCGCGGGCGGCGGCGATGGGCCGGGGGCTGCCGCTCTGCCGGCGGCGCGGGCGGCCCCGCGCCCGGGGGACCCCTGCTCGTCCTCGGAGCCGCTGCCGCCTTCATCGGGCTCCAGCGCCTCGAGCACCAGCAGCGCATCGCTGGTTTCCTCCCCGGCGGGCGGCCCCAGGCACGGGCAGGGGGTGCCCCCCGCGCCCGCCGCCCCCTTCGCCGCCAGCCCCGGCGGGCGCAGCCCCAGCGCCGCCAGCTGCAGCTCCAGCCCGCTCTGCGCCGCCGCTCCCCAGCCCGCCGCCGCTTTGGGCTCCAGAGCGCACCGGTGCCGCGGGCACAGCTCGGCCCCCCCCCCCCCCGGGCCCCCCCCGCCCGCCGCCGCCGCCGCCGCTGCCGGGCCGCAGTCCTCGCCGGGCCGGCCCTCGGCCGCCGCGTTGCGGAAAACCATCAGCTGCGGCCGCGGGCTGCGCAGCGCCGGCCCGGCCCCCGACAGCCGCCCCCCGCCGCCGGGCCCCGCGCCCGCCGCACCGGCACCGGCGCCGCCCGCCGCGCCCGCCTCCGGCCCGGTGCCATAGCCCAGCAGCCGGCTGAGCACCCGGTACGAGGCCGCGGCGGCCGCCGCCGCATCCCCGTCGCGCTGCATGGCTACGGCCGCCGCATGGCCC